CCTTCCTCCTCCACCAGCTTCTCCCTTCTCCCCCCTCATTCTCCACCAGCTTCTCCCCCTCCTCCTTCTCCACCAGCTGGCGTCTTAGCTGAAGTGGAAATCGCCATATTTGAGCATATATGCGAAGTGCGCATGCGCATACGCATCCTATATCATATATTTCGCAGGTCAGAAATTTCGCACATAAAGACGAGCTGTGATGCTCTGCTGTGATTAGTCGGGTCGGGACGCACGCGAAGTGCGCGTGCGCATAGGCGCGGGGGGGCGGGGCTATCTCAGATATTTCGCAAGTCAGAAATTTCGCGCTACACCGGACAACGCCGGGTGTCCTGCTAGTAATGCTATAAACAGATTCTAGACTACAGAACAGAAAAATTCGTTTAAACCAGAAGAATAAACACTTTATCGTAAACACTAAAAATAATATATATTTTGTGCAAGTACTTTTCAATTATTTTAGGATTAATTGTTGAAGTACTAAAATTTATTTGAAAACGTCTAAACATGAATGGCTACGGCGGCGATAGTGATGATAGTGACGTCACAAGCCACCATATTGGATATAGAGTGCGACAACGAAAACTGCGGCGAGAATAGTTAAAGAGTAACTTATTTTTGTTTCCACTAGGTAGCCATTTGAGAGAAGCAGTTTAGACATGGAGACAGTGAGAGAAGAGAAAGAACAGAGAGGCGATTCTTCTCCTGCAGTTACACCAGTGGATGAGGTAATATTCTGTAATTGGTGAATTTGATGTTTGTTTTCTCACCCAGGCACTGCCACTGGCGACTGGCTCCTGACTCTGTCTAGGTCTATGCTGTCAGACTCGTAGTGACGAACCATTCCTGGTTAATGTTTTACATCCCATTAATTATGACCCCTCCACCTTTTACAACAGAACGAGCAGGGCTTTAGCAGTATGACTATGATGATATAGTGTGGTAAAATGCATTAACTTGGTCTTTGTTTAATTGTTAGATACACTAAATTGTACGCAGTGTCTACGCGTCCGGAACCGGTCGCTTAGCCTCCAGGCTACGCACCCGGAACCGGTCGCCTAGCCTCCAGGCTACGCGTCCGGAACCGGTCGCCTAGCCTCCAGGCTACTTATCCGGACATCCACTCACACATTGATTGCTCGACTTGCGTACACACATGATTGCGCAACGGGACGCTCTGCTGATTGCCGAAAACATACAATATATGCACTGCTGCCGTCTATTTTTTTATCTGTCTTCTCTCGCTCTCTCTCTCTCTCTTTCACACACACATGCACAGCTCTATCTCTCTCTCTCTCACACACACACACACACACGTGCACACACACACACACACCTCTAGCTCTCTCTCTCACGCATACACACACACATACACATTCCCTCTCTCTCTCTCTCTCATGCACACACACACACTCGGCAATCAGCAGAGCGTACCGTTACATGTCGGTGCCCCTATCAATCGCCGTACTGCCCCTGAAAATCCAACCCGACCGACGGCAGTCACCTGCCTTGCCCTTTTGTGTAATTTCCGTCGGTGCCATTTAATCTACTGCCCTGGTTTCGTTTTTAGTCGAGTCAACATAACACGTGGGCGTGCGTGCTGGAGTTGCAATGATGAGCTTAAAACCGATAGTCGCAGGAGGGAATAATTACGCTGAGATACCGGACCGTACCCAGGGTACGTTCCGGCAGTACCCTGGGGGACATAGACCCTATGAGCAATAATAACAGCATCAGATAATTATTCGCTCCTGATAGCGGGCATGTAAAATTTCTTGTTACTGTACTTCCATTAGCAGAGGGGGGTACAGAGGTCGGTGTTACGGTGTAAGCTTACATGGGGGCATATTGTTTTGTACATTAAAAGCAAGACGATGTTGATGTACTAATTTGTTATGTTTTCCTTTATTTTACAAAAGTGCCTTAGTGCTCTTCTCAAATTTTGGGAGTTGCCTTGGAGCCTTTTAAAATTGCCTCTGTGCCCTTCCATTTTAGAGAAAATTCAAGGCAATTTCTCACATGCCCTACAAAAATTGCCTTGCCCTTCTCGTCGCTTAATTCGAGCCCTGGTCAGCGTCAAGTGGCAAAGTTTTTCTATTGCACAATCCTAGTTTGGAACCCCAGTATATATATAGTTTGCATATTATGTGCTAAACTAATCCGGGGTGCTAAACCAGGTTTGGGCCAAGTTTATTAGGTATGTTGTGTGCATGATGTAATACTACCCCCATCTCTGAATAGTGTAATCATTTCATATCATAATAGAGCAAACAAGAGATTACAGAAATTGGTAAGAATGGAACTCGCTAGCAACAACACTAAATGAGATTTTAAGGTAATATTATTTGATAAAAAAAATTTGAATGTGTTTTAGAAATTTATGAATGTTGTTTGACATTGTACAAGTGTTACATTAAAAAAATTGCTGATATCAATTCTATGCATTATATTAGTTGGGCTGTGTTTTGTCACAGTAAGTATGCTAGAAACTTACTTGTATAGCCTTAAAAAGTTTATATAGCATATGTTAGTATAAAATGCTATACCTAGTAATATCTATCATCTTACTACTACAAATCTTGTAGTTGTAAGGTGATAGTATGTACACGCTATCCCAGTCTGAATATGCACTAGTCTGAACTACAGAACCTCGAAATTAAGGCTATCCAGGCATGCTTAACAGCATGCTTAATTTTTAAGCAATGATTAATATCAGTGCAGAATTGCTGCTGTGTGATCTGACATATAATCTGAACATGCCAGCTTAACTTAGCATGGTTCTGTTTTGTTTGTGTATTTTTTCCTATATTTTTTTCTACCTTTTAATGTGATTAATCTAAATTTGGCCCAGACCTTGCCCATTATGATAGGACGCGGAATCTAATTTTTAAATCTTTACTTCAGCGTTTTCCAATACCGCTGGACCGCCAGACAATACTAGTAAATAATAGACAGGTCCAATGAAATTATAAGTTTTACCAGATCGTGTGTCGGGTGCTACTGCTAGTATCATACTTACAAAGTACAATGCCTATAGCAGGGGTAGAAATTAACTTTTGAACACGGGAGTCCAACGGACTCCCTCTCTACCCTCAAAAAGAGGGAGTCCGCAGCAAAATGAGGGAGTCCGCAGTCTGGGGTTCAAAATGAAAGATATCAACAATAATGCATGTGCTTATTCTTAAGATTCATGCGGTTGCACGTCTGCCAAATTTTCTTTGGACATTAGCTGAAAAATTACGGTAACTCCGCGAGGCTAGTTAGTATGGCAGAATTTTCAGGGAGTCACACGGACTCCTGCATATGTCAAATCAGGGAGTCCGACAGTAAGTCGGGGAGTATTTGACTCTGGACTCCCGTTAATTTCGCACCCTGCTATAGATAATAGACTAAGTACATTTTCGCATTTAAAAATTTGCATGTTATTGAATATATTTTGGGGTAAATAAGGCCATGTCTGATGCAATGTCTATCAAATTACACGGTGGTAAATTCTGTGACATGGTGGCTGACATTGTCTTCGCACTAGGTATTCTCCAGCACAACCCAATTTGGTCCAATGTAATTTGTTTTGGCTCTTCCTATACATAGTTACTCGGATGAGTATGACACCCGGGATGACTCGGATTCAGAGGCACTCAATAGAATAAATCTCAAGTGAATCACATTAAATAATACAAATGAGATATCTGCAAAATGGTCCTTGATGTATAATTAGGATATGTCATTACTGTGGAATGTATGCCTTGAATCAACTAATGTGCAGTTGTGCACCAAATAACACCAACCAGATTCAGTAACCTAATTATTCTATTTATAGCTACTAAAATATGGCAGCATGTTAATTAATATATTTGATTGATTCATACATACAGGGTACATGTTTCACATACTGGGAATGTTTTCGGTCCGGCGAAAAGTCTGTCAATTCGATAAAAATAAAATTTTAAATGACCAAATGCTTTGTAAAAATCAAATCTATTGGCAACCTATGCTTTACATTGCATTAGAGCTTCATAAATTTACTTCCTTTAAAGCAACTAGTTGTCCATCACTCCATACAACATAATAAAGGTTTAAACATTTTCTGATTTCCTTATAGTGTAATTTACCAACTTATATCACAAAATAATCACGTAGGCTACTCAACATTACAAACGTTTTGTAACTTTGGTTTGCCCAATGAATAGACAATATGGCATAGAACTATCTGAATATATCGTACGTCCGTCCGTCCGTCCATCTGTCCGTTAACATTTGTCTACGGTCAACGATAACTTGAAAACCATTTGACCCACATGTTTCAAATTGCATACAGTTGTTACTCTTATGGGAGAGATGTGAACGTCCCATTTTGGAGCATGCCAGTTAACCTACTTTCGAGTCACGCCCACTTTTTGGCAAAAATGGAAATGGCCATAAGTCAGTTCAGGTTAAACGGATTTTGCAAATTTTGTATGTGAATGAATAAGGACTGGACCCAAAACATATCACGGGTTTTTAATTATTTTTTTAATTATGCAAATTAGGTAGATTTTGCCAATTTCACTATGCATTTCAGTGTCTGCCTACAGTCACTGATAACTCAAGAACCGTTTGACCCACATGTTTCAAATTGCATACAGTTGTTACTCCTATGGGAGAGATTTGAACGTCCTATTTTGGAGTACGCCAGTCGACCTACTTTCGAGCCACGCTCACCTTTTGGCAAAAATGAAAATGGCCATCTAGATTCATTCTATTTTGTTAAATTTACCTATCTACCTACCTACCTACCTAATCATACCTACGTGTAATATTATTTGTTTTAGATTCTTTGTTACAGTAATTTGACTGGAATATTTTATTGCTTTTATTTGCGTGATAATCGAAAACCAAAATGGCGAACATTTAGGCGTAGCGCCATCTCTCGCCCAGATTTCAGACTCAGATCTGAAACATTTATGATTTTCGCATAAAACCTAACCCTGAAACAAAACAGTGAAATTTCTATTAGTAGTATAAAACAGGGAATAAAGACATTTGATCACATTTTGATCCGTCATGAATGAAACACTTACCAAATTTTAAATATCATCTCCCTCTTCTATCACACACTCGGTGAGCTATAGTGCCATTGACACTTTTATGTTATTTTAACATTCAGCTACAGGAGAAGTGCTCTTCAGCAGATTTAGTGATTTAGTTATGCTTTGCCATTGTATATTTGTACTGAGTGATGCTTATCATGTTATTTTGGATTCTTATTATTTACCTTGCATTGCCTTGTAGGGTAATAGCATGATGGAGCTAAAGACAAACCCAGAGAAAAAAACATCTCCAGAGCAACTTGAAGAGAAGAAGTTGAGGGCAAAGTATCCACAGGGGATTAAGGCTGGAGGAAGTAATTTACTACAGAAGCGACTACAGAAAGGAGGGGTATGGACACTTGTAGTTAATAGCAGGGTTCGTAGTGGGTCTTCCAAAGTCTTGTAAGTACTTATTTTGCCAAAAATAAAATAAGGGCCCTTATTAGTACTTATTTTTGGTGAAATCTTAGAAAAGTATTTAATAGTCATTATTTTTTATATTATTGTTGTATACATATAATATGGAATAATTAAATCTGCTGTGCAATTGTGTATATAAATATTATTAATAACCTGATAGTGTACCTTAATAGTCCGTGATCTATCAGAAATCGCGTAAAAAAGTCTTATTTTGGCCTCCAGAAAGGGTCTTATAAGGGATCGGTGGATTCATCAACATATCGATGTATGGCGATACAAACTTTGACAATACATGTGTCGATACGTTTGATTATTCACGATACATATATCGATACTCTACTGATTAAAATTCATATCATTTGGTAGCATAGTTTCATCAGAAAACAGAAGACACATGTCACAATTCACAGTTCAGTAGCAGTCGTATTAGCAGCTCCATGATACTGATTTCTATGCATTCACATGACTGGTAGATTCTTGGTTATAGTTTGCTAGGTGGTTTATTTTAAACGTTCTTCAAAGTTTTGCGATACATATCGTATCTTGAAAGTTGTATCGTGATATGGATCATATTGTGAGTTACCTGTATGGTCCCACCCTTAGTACCAAATAAAAACTGTAACATCATTGTGGCGATATTACATGCATTTCTAGTTCGAAATCTCTATTAGTATTATAACTTAAGCAAGGACTATCATAACTTTCCACTGCCCAGAATATATTATTCGAAGAGGGTATGAGGTTATGTGTTTGTGTGTGGATTGGTGTGGCTGCTACTTCACTTTATAATGGGTAATAACCTGATATCATCAAGGAATAAGGTGCAGTAGGTGTACATTACCGTGCACAAATTCAACATTCTTCAAGGCATGGCAAGTGTTGCCTTTGGGTTTTAAATTATAACGACAGATACTTTACAATGCTCGCTTCCCGGAAAGTGCGGCGAAAAGGTTTCCGCCCAGCGAATACCTGCTTTTGGGAAATCCGAGTCGGGGTTTTTGGCCGTGAGCATGTGAATTAACGACACACGACCATGCTCGCTTTCAGCCGAAGTACTTCGACTCGGGCGACTACAACATGGCGAAGGCCGGCAAGACGACGACCGGCCGCACGACGCTGCTCAGCACACAGAAGCTGATCCTCGGACCTCAGTCGACGGGCGACGAGCATCCGACACCAGACAGCGTGCCGTCAAGAAAGTCCTCGGTGCACACAAAGAGCCACCTGGTGTCGTGAGGCGGCGGAGTGACCGTGGGCGAGCGCGTTTGATGAGCGAATCGCCGAGCTAAGAGTTGGAGGTCGTCGGGGGTCGCGGCGCACGTCGTTAAGGCGAATTATAATTGACCGTCGGTCACGCTGTGGGTTAACGTGAGTTATGTTTTGTGTTGCGCTTTGGTGACTCGGGGTGACTTGAAGCTGGTGATTAATTCATGAAAAGCTCGCTCTTCCCCCCATCTGGTGTAGGTGTGTGTGCACGACATGAAACGGGTGTTCACTCTGCAGATTCTATTGGGACTGTACAAATTTAGGGAGGTAGCATTTAGAGATGGTTAAAGAAATTGACCCAAATCAGACACCGTGTCATCCATCTCATCCCATTCGGCGCTCTGATCACGTGCTTTATCACAATATTATAACACACGTGCCGTGTCCTGTTTTATTATCTATTGTCGTGTGTAAGTTTCTGTTGTGATTAATGTTGCAGCCAAAGGGCGTGTTTCCGAAGTTACGTTGTTTTCGTTTTGAAGGTTTACTGCGTTTTAATTGCGGGTTGAAAGAAATACATATCAAATTAAGATGGATGGATGGATTCGTGCCTCGCTTTACGTTAGCACTTCTCTTCATTAAATAACAGCTGTTCCTCGTAACCATTGGTTCTTGGTTGTTCTATGTGACTAGACAGTGCAACGCAAGGCGGCTGTCATGCAGGTTGGTGCTTTTCTCCTAGCCCTAATGTTTTAGCTGCCGACCAGTTCAACCTATACTTGGATGTGAGAGTTTACGACGGAATGAGAAAGATATTTGTATTGTAGATGTTTGATATTTGTAGTGACGGGTCTGTTTATGAGACGATGGCATGCTGCACCTACATCTGGTATTGGTGCACTGTGAAGCACGCTGCCATATTTGTAATGGTATCGCGCAACAAGCATGGGCAGAACGAGCCTGTGCAGTAACATTGAAGCGATTCATGTTTGCTTAGCTTCACTGGAATTCATGTGCTTACTGCCTCTCTTCTTTAAGCGACTCCCCGCGTCACATAACAATGTTCAGAGTGCATCAAGGATTCGAAGTTAGGTTAGAGAAAATATGCTAGGAAATAAAAATGTGCAACATCAACCAAGGCAAATTTAATGGTAAGGGGTCATCCATTTTTCCTGGTTGGTTAAAAGGGGTGGAGATATGCACTATGCTAGAAAAATTATCGACATTGTGTGCAGGTGTGGAAACTAATCTATTCCTGTCTACAACCCACTAGTAAATCCTACAGGGTCTGCCATGTGATTGTGTATAACTATATATACATTTTCACTCATCATCTAAGTTGGTTGACGATTTGTCTAGATCTTTCCATGTCAATTACTGAACATTATAATATATAGGTGCAACAATAGAGTGCTTGTAATCGTGACTAGTACAGCGTTTTCAATGTCCAGGTGATATCACTAGTGTGTTTACCAGTATAATGACGATGTCACTAGTCTGTGATGACGGTGTGGGTTTGTGCACCTGTCACCTAGGTACAGCTCGAATCGATGGGCACGTCATGGTGACATCTCACGCATGTCACTCACGCATGTCACGAGTGTCAACTCGTGACTGTGATAGGAAGTCTTTTTGTACATAAAACTCGTTTGCCAATATATGTGATTATATTGTACATAAATGTTTGACTAATTTAGAGTCTACAATGAGGTCTGCTCGAAATTATTTAGCAGAATCGGATGAAGGCTTAGCTACAGCCGCCCCTCTGTCAAGCAAAAACCTTCAACAAGTGCTGAAAGCTAGAAATCTCATCTCACAAGTGCGGCACTGCCACCGGAGTTGGAAAAACCCGCTCGACGAGCCAACATCGTATTACTCCTGAAACATTTATGAAGTCTTTCCCCGGTGGAATGTTTGATATATAGTCGGAGTTTTTATACATTCGCATTCTATTAACGTAATAGTGTTAGCCCCTGCTCACTATTAGCTGGACGTGGGTGGATGTAGGAGAATGTTGCATGCTGCTACGGTGACAGTGTATAGACATTACTTTAGCTGGTGTTCCATGAGCATCTACTTTTTGCAGTGAATTGTGCTGTCTACGATTTGCTATTACTCGTGGCGTGCTGGTTGAGGGTGCAATCGTACAGTAGTAAATGCTACACTATAGTTGAGCCTTAGTATAATGCAAACTGAATGTCAAACGCAACTACCAGCGCATGCTGGCTATATTTAATTGCTGTCCAGGTATATGGTGCCTGCATCAGAAGTATCACTTCCACCTTCTGTCATCGAGTGACAGCAGGATGTGACTGCGCTATCTATAGGGAAAAATATAATTACTGACTCATTGCAAATGACCTGGGCAAGCTCTCGGTGGAAACTTCTCGTCGTATTTTCGCTCTGTATGTGTTCCTTAATTTTTCACGCCGTGTCAGGCACGTGCGGGGAGGAAAGTGGTAACCTTAACCGACATCAGGGGTAGATAATGACAAATTGATTGATTGATTGATTGATTTGTTATTATCTACCCGTGCCAACATGTAGGCTGCCGAGAACAATTTACTCGGTGGCGACTAACTCCCGACGTTGCCATCCACCGATCAGTTGTATGTGATGAGGTTGATCAGGAGTGAGTGCAAGCCGAGGTGGAGTTTGTTAAGTTGTAGCCTCGTCTCGCTGGCGCCACACCACTCCCGCCGAACACGGGCCTGGGTTCTTCGTGTGCCGGAGCCATGCCATTAGAATTACTGTTCAGGCGGACCCTGGCCAACTTCAATCACCAAAATGGAATTTCTTTGGCCAGTAGTGCGCAAAAAGACGCACGTATAAAGAAACCGCCGAGACTAGACGGTGTTACAGCGCGGCAGTTGCAAATTTTTAGTCTCGATCGTTCTTCTAATAAGATATAAGATTACAAGCCTACTTGATCCCTGCCCAAGTTCACATACTAATGAATTTGATTACCGACGTGTGTCTGAGCAGCTACGGAAAAAAAGAAGATTAAATGTTTACCCTTTCATGAATATCGAGGTAAAACTCATCGGCTTTGTGACATAGGTGACTTTCTAACACACCAGGTTGTAGGATTGTAAAGTGGCTTAATGTATTAGGTCACACCACTATTAGGTGACATTGTAATGTACCAGTTCATACCAGTGTTATGTGACCTTATAATGTACCAGGCATTGCCAGCATGAGGTGATGGAGAAAGCCGAACATTTATTTTGTGACGCTGTGTTCTGGTATCCATGTATGTTATGAGTAAATCGTGCTATATATGAATGAACTTGCTATCCGTTATGTAGTAAAATTTTGATGAATAAAGCATAAGCGTTGTATTCACTATCAAAGTTTGTTGTCTTAATTTCGGTCTTATAGCTATTGTGGCTATACGTGCAGTATGCAGTTATGCATATACTTTGCTTTGATTTTCACATTTAAGTACTTTCGTATTTCTATTGCATCAGGTTACCTTGTGTTACCTAGTGTTATGTTAATGAATATCACTTTCTAGATAGAGCTCATCTGACTATAGTCCGTGTCAAGGTAGCACGGCCAGGTAGATCAGGCCGGTATCCTATACATGATTAGAAAATTCTAGGTCTGGGAATTCGTTACCCAATTGAGTAATGTCAAGGAAAATTTTCCCGAATTTTGTTTGAAGTATAAACCTCATGTAGGCTGAGTTTGATGTTTGGATTTTCTCTAGTATTTTTCCATTTATAATAGTGTTATTTTTGCATTTATATTATTGTTATTTGCATGTAGGCCCCATATTAGGATCATTATTTCATTTTGTTCAACAGTCCGTGAATGCAACTGTATTCACCTTAGATCCTAGATGAAAAGCTAGTTTTGGCTAACAAATTTCTGAGTCAATAATGCAATTTGTAGTTCAAAACATTTCTATTGAGTAACCCACTTACAAGTTTTATAGGAACCTGGGTAGATGTGTGTTGTGGGGTCTATTATTAATAATTCAGTATCTGTGCGCCGTTCCATAATATAGCCATAGTAGAGCCGATGTAGGCCTATATATATATATATATATATATATATATATATATATATATATATATATATATATATCGAAGAAAGCAAATAATAACATTAGAATGTGCGTCGAAACGTGAACAATAAAGCTTGTCTACCGTTGTCTGGTCGGGTGTTAGCCTGCATGTAACATCTACGTAACAAGTGTAAACAAGTTTTACAATCTAACTTGCAATACCTTCAATGCGCTACGGCTGCTTAGTGATGTTAGCAAATTATAATATTGTGGCAGCTGACATATCCAGGACACGATCATTACTGGTATATCAACGTAATATACTGCTGTTTCTTTTTCAACAAACTCCTGACAGAAAACCTCCCGCGCAATTATCAATAATAATTAACGTGCGTGAGAGGGTCCCTCAGGGTATGTCCCTCAGGGTACTGCCGGAACGTACCCTGGAACTATATCTAATATGCCGCACCGCACCTCGCCTACTCCACTAACGAGTCAAGGGAGTCGCCTATAGCTACGCCTACTCCCTAACCGCAGGGCCGTAGTGGCCGCCACGGCAGCACGGCACTGCCGTGGCACTATTTTGACAAAAAAAAATTGTGCAGGGAACCAAGGAGCAACATATACCAAAAAGTTGAAACCCCCGGGGGGGCATTCACCCCACATTATGGTAGGTGTGTGCCACTGCGAAGTCAAAAATGGGTGGGGGGCTCTGGAACTAACTCAGACCTGAAAATGGGGGTCTCTGGAACTAATGTTTGTTGAATGTGGTATGCTCTGGAACCGGCTAGGTTCGAAAATAGGGGTCTCCGGAACTAGGATTTCGTTAAAATTCAATGCTATGAAACTGGACAAGTTTAAAAGAGACCGTGTTTTTAGACACGGTTTTGAGACAGTTACTCCGGAACTGTGGGGGGAACCGTGATTTGCTTTAAAATCTATGCTGTAGCACTGGAACTATAACCAATAACTATAAACCAATAAACCAACTATAAACCAATAATTGTTGTATTATGTAGAGGAGAGAAAAACATGACCCGGAGAGAGATGAACGCACGCACACACACACGCATGCACACACATACACACACACACACACACACTCTAAAAACACTGTAGTCAAAATATAGTAGTCAAATACATTTAACTAGTACAATGATTAAATTTGACTAGCATAATAGTTAAATATGGTCTAAAACAGCAGTTTGACTATTTGTTGTAATCAAAAATATTTGACTAGCCAAATAGTCAGTATTTCCCTCGCATTAGCCGGTAAGTTGCCCAGCAACAGTGTTGGTAACAAACAAGAGTACGTTTGGTTTGAATCTAACAGCGGCGCCATAGATATAGAAGAAGATTTCTAAGAAGAATCTTTTTCTATATCTATGGTTCCCGCGTGTTGCATGACTTGCATCCTACGTTTGTTCAGCGATGGATGAGTTCGTGAGAAGAACGTTAAAAGAATTGGGCCTTGAGGCGTACACAGATGTATTTATAGGTATGTGTGTTGTTATTTAGTGTTAATATTTATCTGTACGTACAGTGAACAATTGAATATACCTCAATTTTAAGTTAAAACTGCATCCAGAGTGAGGGCCTGACTAGATCTAGAACTTCAACTACTGAACTAGTAATACTGTACGAGTAGTACGTAATAGTACATTAGTACTGCTCATAGGGTCTATGTCCCCCAGGGTACTGCCGGAACGTACCCTGAGTACGCTGTACGGTCCGGTATACCGGAACGTACCCTGGTCACTATTTGATATAATTAGGGTTAGGATTAGGGTTAGAGTTAGGGTACGGGTTAGGGAGTAGGCATAGGCGACTCCCTAGACTCGTTAGTGGAGTAGGCGAGGTACGGTCCGGCATATTAGATAGTACCAGGGTACGTTCCGGCAGGGTGCAAATCCACTTTAGGCACCTTATATCACGAAGTGATGCACAGATTTCTGTGTATCACCCACTGATGCACAGACTTTCCTTACATCAAGGATTGATGCACAAATGTTTAACTGCCCACATAGCCATGCTAAAAAGCGCCACCTATCGGACAAAAATACTACTATTATACCACTAAAAATTATGTTGTGTATTTTTATTTTTATTATATGATTTATTATTAATTAAACTATTAATTACCAATTACACTATTGTTTATT